TGCGAATGTAATAAAGTATAAAAAGCGCTTTAACAAAAGGCTTATACCAAATTAAAGTAAAGGAAATGTGAAGTTGAGGAACGTGTAAGCGAATCTGTGATTTAATGCATATGGAAACATGAGCATAGATGCTGAGCATTGTTGCCAGACAATGAGCGGATGGGGAGAAAAGTAGGAAAGGTTATGGTTACCAGACGACATCTTCATTAAAATCTAATTAGCGAATTGTGAGGCGTGGCAAGGCGAGCCGAGGAGAGGCGACGAAGGATGACGCTAGCCGAGCTGCCTCTTGAAAACGGAGTCCTTGACTTGTTTTTTTTTTTTTTTTTTTGGTGAGAGCGTTGCGACTGCAGTGCATAATCAGCCAGGTGAGGGTGAGTGGCCAGGTGAACTGTCAGGTGAGCTGTCAGGTGAGCTGCATGCGTAAGCTGCTTAACTTGTGCTGGAATTTGAGCAGGGAGCAGGTAGCAGCTGGCAGGCAGCAGCAGCCAGGAGCAGCAGTTCAGCAGAGCTGCTCAGGAATGTCTGCTGTAACGGGGTGGAGCTCGGAGCAGTGACACCTTACCCGTTGTCCTTGCTCCACTTAAAGTTTACTGCTGCCATCTGCACACGCAGCACATGCAGCAGTCAACAGGATTCGCAGCAGCAGCAGCATTAGCATTGGGGATTGGGTTTGAGCCTTCGTTTGAGCCGAGCGACTTCTTGCGCAACATTTACGAATTCCAGAGTCAACCGCAAAATGAAAAAGTTTCTATGGCTGCTGCTGCTGCTGCTGGCACACCCGCTTTATATTGTATACATATTGTATATAGTTTTTCTTGCTAGTAGGACACTGTCACACTCACACTCATATTCACACTCACACACACACACACACACACACACCCACACACACCCACACACACACGCATGCACAAGTTCTCGTATGTCCTTCAGGCGTGCATTGCATTTCGATGCTGCTGCCGGGGAAATTGCTTTATAAAATGTTGCAAGCTGTGTGAGGCTTGGGGTCGCTTTTTCCAGATTTTCTTATTTTATTTTGTAGCCATTCCTGCAGCGGTTTCCCGGTTTGACATGCTTTTAATTTTCTATACATATTTCCTCAGCTACTCCACATTAGCCATTATCGCTTTTGAGATTGTGAAATGTCCCTAATGGTTTTGAGGTGCTATAAATCATTTTCAATCGCCGCAAATAATGGAAACGTTATCGGCCATGCGGACCGATTTACAACAGTCGATTTAGTGCAGCTATAAACAAACTCACGCCCCAATAGACAAACTATAATTACGATCTTGAATATATTTTTTGCTTTGCCAATTTATATTTGATGGTAAAGTCATGTCAGTCAATTATTAGATTGTGAGTTATGATAGGTAAAAATATTTAACCAGGGTAAAAACTTCTTTTGAAAACGTTTATCGACTATAAGCAGCGTAGTTTCCTTAATTAGAAGTCAAATTTTTCGTTAAAGTTTGAAAATAAAATAAGATACAAATTCGGTTCTACAACTTATTACAATCGTTCAGATGAATACCAAAAAAGTTTCATAAAATGGCCTAAGCCCTTTTATTATGGTATAGATACTAATTTAACAAAAGATTCATCTACAAGGAGTACGACAAATTATATTTAATTTAATAAAATAACTATTTGAAGTTATTTAATGATGCAGACGCGAATAATGATATCTCATCATTGATTCTCCTTGTGGAAAAATTGTGGAAAATATTTACCAATTTCCCAGCGTCTTTTCACTTTGTTGGCCACAGAAATTAATCAATCGATATTCCAAGAGCCAAGTCGATAATATTTATATTATAAAAGCCGTTTGTGCTTAAGCTATATTTGTTGCTCGTATTTGGTGTATTAAGATGGGCACTTACATTTGTAACTATTAATAAATGGTGGAAGCTCAAGACACACATTACGTGCCATCGACTTTGTCTACATCATTTTGATGTAGATTTTTCCCTCTTAAAAAATCACTTTACTGCTTAATGTGTCTAATTAAATTTCACATGCCGTTGAACAGCAGACAGTTTGCCCCGCCTCTTGCCCTTGCTCTCTGACTCCCTCATTCGCTTTCTCACTCTGAAATTTTGTTGTAATTTTCCTTAGCTTTTGGTAGTCAACTTTTCCCTACACACATCTATACATACATATGTTCACTTACCCATGCTACGAGACACGCATTTAGTGGCCACATTAATGGGTGACACATTTTGATTTGATTCGAATGGGGCAAGATGGAGGATGGAGGATGGAGGATGGCTTGTGGCAGACGAGAGACAAACACATCTCACTCCGAAACATAATTATATTTCCATTGAACGTGTCGTCGTTTGTTTTAATGTTCGAGAGAGCCTGGAAAAATGTAATTTTCATATAAGATTGGAGAAATGCTCTCCAACTTTCTTGTTCGGTCTGCGTTGTACACATTATATGTCAAACAATATGAACACATTCTGCAAAAGAGACACTAGGAAAAAGCTTGCAATTTTCATTAAAGATAAAAAATACCAACACAAAAGAGAGAGGTTTCTCTTTTTTGTTCCTTTTGTACCTCTTTCAACTTTAAAAATAAAAATATCACTTATAATTTGTGGTCATTTGTTTAATCTCTCTTCTCTTACAACTCTCTGTTAGCAGTTTAAATATAGCACACTTTATTTATGGCAAATAGTTGGGAATTTTGACTCGTGCCTTTGGAGTAGAAATGCGATGTGATTTTCAATCCATTTGCCTGTATTAAATGTGTAGCTGCGAATTACGTAGCCGCCCCGTTATTGCTGCAGATGCATTTAATGACTTTTCATGCGTTTGCATGCCAGATAGCTGTTTGGGCGTAGATGAACGCCTACTTGGAGCCGTTTAACAATTGTCACTTTACAGAACGAGAAACTGTCAGTTAAATTATATTTTTGTCAGAATTTGTAATCACAAACGCCACGATGTGGCAGCAGTCAGTATGTGTGTGTGTGTGCGTGTCTTTGGGTGTGGATGTCCTCAGCGAATTAATTAGAAAACTTTTCTTAACTGATTCAGTGCCAGGAGCAGCAGTGACTGCGACGTTGTAAACGCCTTTAAAGAAGCTGGCAGAACCTGTTTTTTATAGGTCTATTAGAGTCGGGTGCGTGCCAAGTTTTATTTCGTGAAACGTGTAACGCAGCACAAAATATCTGGCAAAAATCTATATCTATATATATAATTGTGTTCTGACTAGTTGGGATATAAATCTAAAATATTTACATAAGAGCTTCGATGGAAATTTCAAAGTTCTATATAACTTTCTATATACCAATATTTTCATAAGTGGCTTACAAATCCGCACTCAAATTCAATTCAATTAATGTTGATATTTGGTATGTTGATATTAAAATCAAATCCGACCGTTCTCCCTGGTTAAAAATAAAATTAAAAATGTATTGGAAAGTGAGTTATGACGCAATTTGCAGTTCCTTTTAATCGTTTTCAAATAACATTTTTATTGACCATATTGTTTTAAAAGTTAGAAAAAATATTCTTTTTAGCTACAACCAAATCTTTGTTTTGAGAGATTTAATATGACAAGCGCCAGCGAAGCAGACTGAATATCATAAACTGAACTATTGCGAAATAGTCGAACAGTCCACACTTTGTGCAATAAACGTCAGATTTGTTGTATATAATGAATACTTTTTGAGATGAGCCGAATTAAAGAGAATGCCTGTCGAATTTTTGACTGTAGGTGCTTCAGATTTGTGGTTCGTGTCTGAGTTCAATACTCACCCATCTCTAGGAGTGCACACACTCGCTCAGAGATAGTGCATACATTTGTGGTTGGAGCCAAAATCCAGCTTGTGCGGCCACAAAACTGAAACTGCATGGAAAAGTCTTTTGAGGCATGAGGCATTCGTTAGTTCGCTGAAGATCCTGTCATACATATAAAACACATGCAATCTGTGTGTAAATGTGTAAATGGCGCTGGCTGTGTGTAAAGTGCAGCTAAAAAGTTGAACCAATGCAATGGTAGATGTGTCTTTGAGAGCATTATAAATTCAACATGCGGATTTAAAACGCCCAAAATATGTCGGTTGCATTTGGCAAGACATTTTCCGGACATTTGCCGGATATTAGCAGAATGGCACTAAGACTTTGACTATTGCAAATTATTGCACAAAAACGGAAGTTGTTAGATGCAAATCTTTGGTTCGTTAGTAATTAAGGTTGTAAATCAGTTAATAATTGAATAATTCAATATTGCTAAGCTGACGCTTGCCCAACTTGCAATATTATTTTATAAATTCGAATCAAAAAGTTCAAAGTTCACGCAAATGTGTGAATCAGTTCAATAATTGATAGGAAACAGCTGTTTAATATGATTTGTATGAAATCAATATTTATTTATAAATAATAATTATCTATATAATTAAATTTAATCAGTCTACGTTTTTCATATAAATATTCAGCTTACAAATCACTATATATATGAAATTTCCCAAGTTAAACTGAAATAACAACTTGCCTCAGGTAATTAGAAGTTTACTATAAATCAAACAATACAATAAACCATGTGCAAGCACTCATATATGTTAAAGATAAGTACGATTTTGACTTATGAGACTATTTCTAACTTTTTAAGATATGTTTTAAGATTAAGCTAACCGCTTTTAATGGTATTCAAATGGCCTTTCTGCTGCGCGAAAGTCTCCAGTTAACTTAGATAATTGCTCTGCAGACCGAAAGCGCTCTAAATGAAAATCTTATTAAATTAATAAGAAACATTAAAATCATTTTAATAACAGTTTGAGGGTAGCAGACGACAGTACATTTAAATTGTATGCAGGCAATAATATGAAAGCAATGCCGACAAATGGAAAAGTTTTATAACCCCTTAACCCTTGAAATTACCCCGAAAAGGACCTACTCAAATGTTGGGCGCGGTCTAAATAAATTTCATAGTTTATTGCTTGCTGTAGGAATTACTGACAATTGTTTTCGGTTTTTGTTTTTTACAGCGCTTTAAGGACAATGACATCGAGGTGAAGCGCAAGGATGGCATTATCCTGCTGCGTGAATTAGCGGCCGAGGTGAAGAATTTTATGGACTTCAAGCGTAACGCTGTAATGGTAAGTGAAAGTCCCCCATTCCCCATCCCCATCCTCGTCCACAGGCGACGAGTGGTTCAATAGCTCAGAGCGCACGCCATAAATGGCAAAAACTCTGACAATTGAAGGACAACACACTCACGCACAACAAAAGATACACAAAATAATTGCTAGGAGACACTGCTCTGTGGGCAACTGGCGTAAAGTGGAAAACAATAAATGGCCGCGGGCCAAGCTGCCACAGCAACAGCAATTAAAACAAGTGAGAACATTGCACTCGAACGTATCCGACTGCGGAATACTCTGATAACTTTTGCTGTACACTAAATAATATTTGTATGTTGTTATATAGCTGCTACAGCTTTAAGGGAAATACACAGTCAACATTAAAGAAATGCTATTAATGTTATCATTATCATTTTGAAATGAACTCAGCTTAAGCTTAATCTCACTCACAAGCTGCTCTTTTTTTATTGAGCTCTGTCGTTATCACTTTTAAACGGTCTTCTTATATATTAAATTTAATTTTAAACATTCAAATCATTAAAAATCAGTGTTAATCAGCTTGTTAAATAAGTATTTTAACAGTGACAAATTACTAAATAATACATATTTATTTATTGCTCTGGACATATAATTATATAATATATGTTACAACTTGGCTTATTGTTCATCATTATTAATTATTTATATTTGGTTAATATTGATATCTTGTTTACGCCATTAAAAGAAATCAGGCAAAGCTTAAATACGCCCATTTTAGTGATTTTAAATGGGTGCAGGTTTCAACAACAGCATCTTGGGCAGTGAGCGGTTAGAGAGTTAGTTTGAGGGGTCGACAAAGTGAAATTAAAGTGCGCGCAAGCCACAAGGACAAGTTTGGATGGCGCCCGCAGCTGCTGCTGCTGTTGCTGTTGCTGCCACTGATGCTGATGGTGTCGTCAACCGTCGCACAGCTGCCATTTTGCTTAACAGTGCTTAACAGGCTCGCCCAGACTTCAACTCTCCTGTGGAATGAACCTCTGCGGTATTGTGGTCTTTGCCCTGCTCTTTGTGGCTTGCCACTGCGCGCGTCCGTCCTGTGTATGTATCAATAGACTTCGCTTACTGTCGGGATAACTTGCTCCGGGAAGGTCAGAGGAATTTGTTTTGCTTCAATTGCTTAAGGATTATAGAAGTTAAGTCGCAAGGCTTAAATTTGTTTAATAATTCAGCTAACTTATGTCTAGTTGACCGAGGCTTAACTAACATTGCAGCTGAAACAATAAATCATTAATTAAATAAACATTTTCCAAAAGGTATATTCCGGTTTTAATTTTATTTGAATCGCTCAGCTTAAAAATATTCGCATAAAAATTGAATTTTCTCCCATACAGCTTTAAACAACTGTTTTCCAACCACTTTCTGAATGTGACAAAAAAAGAAATGTTTGCAGTCGTTAATGAACTTTCATATACGAATGCTGTTGGAGTTAATCAGATGAAAAACAAAACAGTTTTATACAATCGTTGCCTGCCACTTTCCGGTCCACGGAATGGACGTAACCAACTCCGGAATACTCTGATATCAGTAAATGTCACAACCCATGGTTTTTCCTTTAATGATTTTGGCTTGCACAAAAGAACACCCGCTGCTCCAAAAGAAACTTGTGAAAATGTGTTGAAAATGCTTTCAAAGTTGCTCACTTCAATATGTATTCATCTGTAGCGATTTCTGCAAATATATTGGGTTTTATTGAATCATAATTCGAGTTATCCAGGGGGCGTGGCACAAAATGCCTAACACTTGCTTTGGCGCAGTTGCCAACGGGAGGACAGGCAGACTATTGGGTAAATTTTTATTGGGTAAATATTTATTATTATATATTCTAAGCGACCAGTTGAATTATGCTGACGTAATTTGTAATTGGCGTCAAAGTGTTTTTGTTAATAATGGATTTGTGTGTGTTCGTGTAACAACTAAAAGCGGTTAAGCTGACAAAGTCGTGGACTCAACTGGTTCTACTAATATGTATATTTATTTACACACACATATGTATGTTTGTTTATACATACAAACAGATGTGTGCATTGTATTTTTGGGGGCTGGCAGAATGGCCACGTTGGATTCATGTTATGGGCGAGAACCCATGTCAATGTTCCGTTCATGTGCGCGGGTATACATAAATAATTTTTTATGATTTCCGCAAAATATCGATTTAATTTTTTTCCTCGTTTTTTTCTTCTTTTTTTTCTACTCTGCAGAGTATATTAGTTTTGTGTAATTTCCTTTTATGCGTCTGTCCGTATTAATTAAACTTTATTTTTGTACTCAATTGAAACTAAGGATTGGAAAATTTTTTATATAATATTTATAGTTACAAGAGAACTAAAAAACATATTATAAAATATACAGGCACTTAATATTGAACTCCCTTCCGGTAAAATAGTAGATTGCCACGCCCCACTCGCCTCCACAAAATGGAAATTTATTTCTTCCTCAATTTTAGAGTTCGAGCCACAAACTTGAGGCGGTAACTCCATAAAAAATGCATATTTTCGACAAAAGTTTTACCAAAGTGTTTGGCCATGCCAAGACTAATGTTCCACTAATGTTCCTTCGCTCACTTTCAGCCATATGTGTTTTCTTGATCAGTTTTCGACTGTCTTTCTCAGTTATCAGAGTATTGCGTAGTCGGCTACGTTCCCTTGCAAGTTCTTGTTTGCTTTTTGTGGGTTTATTCTTATGGTCAGTCTGGATACACACACACACACACAGACACACACACACATAAGCATATGCGGAGAGCACAGCTGCCACTTACTCGCTGTCCTGTTGTCCTTTGGTCCCGATGTCCGCAAGTTTTGGCTACGCAAAACGCATACGAAGCACCATTAATTAAAAATCATCCCACATGTACAACAATTTACAACAACAATAGCAACAGGAGCAGTAACATCAAAAACAGAAAAACGGAAAATCCAAAAATACATTTAAAAAAAAAATAAAACCCACAGGCAACGCGCGAACAATTAATAAGATTGGCCATAATATACCCTGTATAGCATTTAATAAGTCGAAGGGAAGCACTGGACAATTAAGATAATCTTAAAATAACAAAGAAAATTACATAAATACAGAACTAAAATATAAATATATTATTTTGCATTTATAGGCAGATCAATTATATTGTCTTGATAAACATTAATAACTTGTTTGTGGGGTATCTTATAGTCGAGGCTTCCTGACTACAGAACATACTTGTTTTTATGACCTAATTGCAGTTGCAGAAGCTGTTGTGAACTATATAAAGTATACTGACCAACGCTTATGAAAGTTAGTGCTATGCATATCAAAAGAGTTACCATAAAATACTTTAAATTGTAGCCTTATAACATATAATTATATCTAAAGATTCGATCATTAAAAGATGGGTGAAGCGTAGATTCATGTTCACAGATAAGTGAAGCGTAGCAACTATAATGACTAACTTAAACGGTGGCTGTTCTACTAGAAATTTAAACACTATGCTACAAAACTCAGAGCAAAGCATTTCTTGCTTAGCAATCAAGTAAAACGATAATGCTTGGGTTAAGTCAATTAATATAAATAAATATAATGGGCTCACTATCGATGAGCACAGACAATTATATACATATATATATATATATATATATAAATAGAAATACATATAGATACGTACATATTTCCATAATTAAATATGTACAATATACATTTGTCAGAGCGACATGAGTTTGTCTTAATCTCTGTGTTTACATAAAACTTGAATCGGGGAATCTCCCGATGTGATTGCGCTCGGGGGTCACTTTGTGAACAGCATATAATACTGGCCGCAGCACGCTTTGAGCTGCCAGTTTGATTCGGAATCTCAAGCGAAACACTACAACAAGATGCAGTTCATCTCACTCCTATTTGTGGTCCTGTACGTCATCTGCATGGTTCTCGCATGTTTGGGCGCTTGCAACGATGGATTTTATAACAAAAATGGCAACTTGATCATCAATTTGGGCGATTTAAATAAGCTCTTTGGTTGCGTAAAGCGGGAGCATGAAGGTTAAATAATAAAATATGTATTTCTTGTATTAATTCAAGCGAAAAAAATGCAAATATGCTTTGTGAAAATAATACATATACGAAGAAAGTGTGTGTTAATTGTATTGCTATTATGCGTTCTAGTTTTAAATCAATAATAAAATAAAGTTTGTATTTACAAATGTGCTGGTGTCATTTTATTCACAATTGCAAATTGGGAAAATAATCTTTAGAAAAACAATTATGAGTGCTTAAGGCGATAGATTGCAACTAGCAGATACCCTGTGCTCAGCTCCTTACATATCATAAATAAAATTATACAATTAACAATCCATATCTTCCACAGTCTTAGATCTAAAATTCAAAACTTTTATTGGAAAATTGCTGACAACCTTTTTTAAAAGTTGAGCCATTTTTTAGCTGATGTTCTCACTGAAAACACCAAACCACTCACACACCAAACACAGTCACACATGAGACAAATACTAAAGCAAACATTTGGCATTCAATCGACAACTGGCAACTGGCAACTGGTAGCTCTTAAAGTTCAACGAGCTGCAAAAGTGAGGCACGTAAACGCGTCCTCCTCCCGATAGGTTACATACCTAAATGCTTGCCTGATATGACGCACCAAAAATAGTGGAAGGTAAAAAAATGGTAAAAGGAATGTGGAAGAAAAAGCAGCAGGCCATTTTTTATGCTTTTTGCATACGTTAGCTTAAGTTTAACCGGGCCAGAATGGTTTATACACAATGCGGCCATGCCAGAAGTTCGGTGGTAAGCGCAAAAAACAACAGAAACGACAACACTAAACTGACCCAAGCTGGCAATATATAAAATATATAAAAAATTACAGCTTGTTATTGTTGTTTTGGCATTTGATTTTTTTTATTTATTGACTTCTAATATTATGCCCTGAACCCATGAACATAGGATAGAAAATATAGGTATGTAATACGCAGAAGAATTTATATATATATATATATGGA